CTGCTCCAGGCACCAGGTGACGCCACCTCTTTGAACACGCCAGGCCCCTTTTGAAGACGGGGCAACTCGGGTTCCCAGCAGCGGCCACGAAAGCCACGGAGTCGAGGCGGAGCCGCGTGCGGCCGCAGGCCTCGAGTGTTTCGTGAGGCTCCTCTCTGCTAAGGCCCCTCGAATCTCACTTGGGCCTGAAGCTGCTGAAGCCCGTGAACCCACGTGTTGGGAGCCTCGGCAACTCGACTCATCGGGATCAGTCGGAGCCATTTCGAGCCGTGAATTCCCAAGGGCAAGCCAAGCAAGTGTTCAGCTCTCCGCTGTTTGGGCGGTCAGCACCACGACCTGCACCACGGCGTGTAGCGCCACTGTCTTACGTGTGCAAATGGCTCGCTTAGACTCCAGCATTTGGCAACAGCATCTTCGTGCTGGCTATTGAAAACAATTGCAAAGGGAGTCGCCAGCTGCCTGACCACAAGGCCCGCAGCAGGCGGCAAAACAATATATGCGAATCATCACGACATCATGAAGCGAAGGCAACAACTGCAACGCTTGTAAGTCTTGAATCTCACGAACCTTGAGATGTTTAGAATGGGAAAGAAGCCGATGGGACAGAGCCCGTTTACACTCAGCGACGACAGCATGCCGGCAAAACTGCGCTTGGGCACTGTTTGAGTCGCATCAGCTGTAAACCCGCACCGGTAATCTGATTTCAGCACAGATTTCAGACGTGTGACTTTTTCTCTCTCTTCCACTTTGCTTTGCCTTGCTTTGCTTGGGTCTGAAGGGCTGGCAGTCCGTCCCCGTATAAACGAACCGAGGTGGGGCGTGTTGGCTCGCAAAGGCAACCCAAAACTGGTACGCAGGGCAAAACAACATGCAAATTTTCGACCTTGTGAGAGACTTCAGCTCTCTGTCTCTCCCTCTCTCTCTCTTTCTCTGTCTACCAGGTGGGGAGCCTGGGAAGTGTCCCGCAGTCCCGCCCCACTCTCTCTCTCTCTCTGTCTATTCCTGTCTCTTCTTCCGCACAGCCAAGAAAGGGCCCTGCATTCTTCTTGCCTGCTTGCTTGGGCGTTTGGGGTCGGGGATGCGGCTCCCCTTCCCCTGCGCTGGCGCTGTTCGAGTCCGGTGAGTCGGCGTGCGGGCCTATGCGTAGACGTCCCCGATGATGCTGATTAGCAGCGCTCACGCTCAAGTTTTGTCCCAGGCGTTGCTGGGTGTGGCGTCGACAGGTTGCCGAAAGCAGTTGGTTCCAAGCACTCAAGGGCATACGTCAACAACACTCGCAAGACTGGTCAGTGTTCCTGCCGACGTGCAGAGGTTTGGAGCTCTGTTTGGCACAGGTTCCTCGACGGGGTGGAAGCATTGTGGCCAGGGATACTCAGAAACCAGGGCGTATCAACACTGGGGTCCCCGTGCCGTGGAGCTCGTGACTATTTTACACCCTCGGCTGGTCCACGAGGTGTGCAGCTTGCGCAAGAGTCCCTGAAAGAACAGCTAGCAAGATACATGACCTGTTGCAGGTCCTAGTTCGCTGAGATCGTTGTAAGCGTGGGGTCCCTGTCAGTTGGGCAAGCAGCTCTAGGGTCAAGGTTCCACAACGCCGTAGGGGGAAGTTTTCGGGTCCCCTTGCTTCCAACGGTCTCTGTTTGCCAGGGCCTTTGCGTATAGGCTGGTGGCCCCTTGATGATGCTTGCACGACTTCAAGCACTCGCAGAATGCATCGCCGTGCTTCTGCCATTCTCTCTCTCTCTCTCTCTCCCTCTCTCCCTCCCGGGTATGAGGGTCTCTCTCTATGTCGCTCTCTCTACAGTAGCTCTTCAGCCATCTATGGTCTCTGCTGTTTACGGTTTGTTGGAAGTCAGCTGGCAATTTTAGCCGGCAAGCCATGCATGAGCACCGTCGCTGCCGTCGCTCCCACTCTCCTTCCTCAGCCTTCCTCCCCTCCTTGCTGAATGTTGCTGGCTCAGCGCTTCGATCCCCGATGCTGATTGATGCATGTCCCATGTCATCCACGTCGCCGCGCACAGAGTGCGAAAGCGAGCGACTGTGGCTGCTGTGGGCGTGATCCTGCTTTCTGTGACTTCTGCACGCCTCGGCCGCGGCCAGCGGCTGTCAGCGCTGCGCTGCAGGCGACGGCATCCTCGAAGGCGCCTCCGCGCTCGCGCAGTAGCCTGAGAGATTTCGAAAGCCGAGCCCGAGCTCTTCGCAGATCTGCTCCGTGCTGGGGCCGGCACAGCAAAGATCCCTGCCATTTCTCGCCGGTTTTCGAAGCAACGGTGGTGCCTGCCAGAGCACCGCACCGCATCGCGAGACCCACCGGGACGCCCCAGGCCGCACGGCTGTGTTCTAAGTGACCCGGCGCGAAACAGCGTTCGGGAGCAAGGCGAGGCCGGCCAGGAGCGAGAAGAGCTCGAGCGCCTTTTTGTGTTGGGAACGCGCCGAGCGCAGGAGACGTCGCTTCCAAGAGACGGCCTGCAGCCAGCGAGCTGCCTTGCTCAGGCCAAAAAGTGCCGAGTTGAAGCTGACCAAGTCCAGCTGGAGTTGGGACCTCAGATCCCGCCGAGTGTTGCTCGCAGATCACGAAGGCGCCCCGAACTTGGGGCCACAGCCGGAGCTGAAGCAGCACGAGCTGCCATCGACCATCTTTGGCGAGTCCCGCGAGCATCTGAGCACATGCAGCTCGCCATCTGCCTCAGAGGGCATCGCCAGAGCCTTGTTGACGTCGAGCAGGCTCGCCTGACAGAGAGCTGGGGCATGCGGAACAGCGCCGACCGCACCGCATGCCGACCGGACCTGAGTCCGCATGCTGCGCTGGGCCTCCAGAGCAGCGGAGGGAGGCCGGATGGCATCGGCAGCTGGGTCGAGTCTAACAGCGCGTGCCTCCAAGGCAGCAGATTGCCAGGTCGGCCATGTCCTTCTGGGAGGGCCAAGTCCCTGCACGGGGGCGAGGGGCACTTGGCTCTCGCCTCGCTGCATGCAGCAAGGCGGCACCTTTTTCGGGCCAATGCTCATGGGTGCACCCCATGGCAAGGCTCCGATACATCGGCGGGCTCCCTACTGTGCCTTGCTACTCTGACTCCTTAAGGCTGAAAGGAAGTGGGCAAAGCGATGCAAAAGCCATCAGCCATGATGCATACAATGCCAATACATGCCAATACATGCCAACACGACCTCCAACTCCGCTCTCTGCACAAGTCTCTCCGGGCACGCACTGGCCTCCGCTGCCTAACTTGGCTCTGCTACAAATTCGACCTACTTTGTGTAGTTGCAGGCTTCGGGTCTGTCCGCTGATGCAGTGTTGCTTCTGCCGGCAGTGTGTGCACACGGCTGGGGAAAAATGCATGATCGGGCTCGCTTCTGCACCTCGGGGATCGCCTGCAAAGGGAGGCAAAGCCGGAAGACATGCAAACATTCCGAGTGGCCTCACATGCGGAGCAGATACCAGAGCGAGAACAAGATGAACAGCGTGAGGGCCATCCTGAAAGCCAATGCGGAGAGCAAGCGGAGGAGTGGCCGTGGCCACAACAGTGGTGCCAAGCGACCCCCCGTAGACCAGCCACTTGTCCCCGGTCTGTCTTCGGTCAATTACATTCACAAGGCTCTGCGACACCTGTAAGCCAAGCAGGCTGTCACTCTACTCGGCCCCTATCTGAACAACGTGAGCTGGAGGCTGCGCGCCCCGATGCTGTTCGCGGCGTCCAGGAGCTTCCGCCGCGCATTCTTCAGAACCTTGTTCTGGTTCACCTCGAAACAACTATAGGACAAAGAGACGCCGCAGGCGTCTCTGAGGGGCCATCTGGGATACGGACGAGGTTTCCGAAGATGGAGCCTGCCTGCTCCAAGACTTCGTCAAGGGCAGCAGCGGAGTCTCGAAGAGACCGATTCTCCCGCACCAAGCCCTGCAGATGATCTGCGATATCACTGGCATGGGCCAGGCATGGGGAAAATCCCTTCCTGGGCCTGTGTCTCATCGTCAGGGCCATCTTTCTTCTTTCTGTCACCGAGGAGCTTCTTGCGATTCTCCTCTTCTCTCTTGACCTTCAAGGTAGGGTCCAGGCGTCATGACGATGCGTCCCACGATTCAGAAGCTTAGATGCCGGCTCGGTAAAATGCTCCCAGCTGCTTATCCACAGCATTCTGGATGACCGACCTCACTAGTGTACTGCGGCAAGATCTGGCGGCTCAGCCTTCCTTGAGCTGGGTATGGCACACGTCCTCCTCCAGCCGAGTGGTCTTTCTGTCCCAGGCCGCGCGCCCCTTTTCAGGCATCGCATCCACCTGAATGACGAGGAGGGCCGAAACTCCATGTCGTGAACGGGCCTCGCCTCTTCTCGGACCCTCTGAGTCGTGTTGGTTAAATCTGCAAAAAGCGCTGCGAGACCTGAGAGATCTGACGGACGCAGACATGGTCCAAAGCAGACAAAATGCCTTCGAGCGCCCTGCGCTGCTGCATGGCAACATCGGAGCCCACCTGAACAGACTCGAAATCCCATCTGCACCACACTTAATCTGTCAGAGTCCATGCTCTTGGAAGCTTCGACCTTGTTGGCAGCAAATCCTTCCAGAGTGGAGTCAACATCCCTTTTGAGCCTTGCAGAAGTGTCGCTGATGCTGTTCAACTCCACACTCTGTGTTACTCGGATGCTGACGTCTCGGCTTTGCGGAGCAGCGAGCTCACATCCCCCGTGGCCTCACGAAAAGAGATGTGATTACAAGTGGGGCACAAAGGAGTGTTGAAAAACCCCGGTTCAAGCCTGCCTCCATGCCGACACGAGGCTCAACTAACACGATGATTCCTTCTGAAACTCCCGGGCTTGAGAAGCTATGCTGGTGCTGGAGGTGCTGCCATGCCTCTGACCTACGATAAGCCCATCACTGATCCATGAATTCCTCTCTGTCCCACGGCCAGAACGAGCTGCAGCATGCCACACAACTCAACACACCTTTCAGCAGAACTGGATCAGCAACACCAAAAGCGATTGCAGGGAAGCAGGTGGGTCCCGTACCTTGGCCATTGCATGGCCAGCACCGTGTCCACGAGCCGCCACTGGAAGCTGTGGTGGAATCGGTGGCTGTGCCGGGGACGGACGCCCGTGCTTTGCAACCGGCGTATGATGCAAGTGACTGCTCTGGGTGGCTGCATGGCCGTGAAACTGCACAGGCGCTGCATGCTGAGAGAAGTTCTGTGTTGGTGCGTGGGGATGTCCTGCCTTCGCAGCGCATGATGCTGCAGTGTGTGGTGCGTGCTGGTTGGAGGTATGTGTGGAATGCACTGGAGGCACTTGTGCCGGCTGCATGTCATTTGGCTCGCGATGCCCGCTTTGTGGGGGATCCGACTGCAGCGGGTGAGTTGGCTGCAGCTTGTCCAGATGTGGCAGCAGTTCCTGTGGATGCCTCAGCTTTCAGCTCTTGGCAAAGCTCAGACCTCTAAAGAATGAGAGCTGCGACATGTACCCCAAGCTTGGAGCATCCGGATGGTGCCGGGCTCGGACGGCAGAGCCTGCAAACGCACAATCCAACATCTTCGATGCTCATGCACCGGAAACGGCCTGCAAAGCCATTTGATGGCCACCAACATCTGGAACACGCGGGCCCTGCATTCGATCGTGCTACCGCAGCTGGATAGAATCACAAACAGCTGATCCTGTCCTCCGCTTGCCCGAGCTTTGAATACAATCCTACCTGACGCTGCACCCATGAATGTTTTGTGCCAAGACCAGCACGCCAAAAAGTTGCAGCATTTCGAACAAGAACTGATCAAATGGTTCAAGCCGTGTCACTGGCAATGACTGCGTGGCATGGATGGCATCGGAAATACCAGCCCTGAAGCTGACAAGTCTCCAGCATGAACTGGAAACTAAGTCGAGCAACTCAGCTCAGCACGACCCAGGCCGAGGCGGCAAGTGCATGCTCTGAGCCATGTTTGCGCGAGTGGCCGAACTTGAGCTGCCGCATGCTGATACCCTGCTACACCTGCTTGGACTGAGAATATTGCCATCCTGCTGCTACGAAGCCGTGTAACAACTGCAATGCATCGTATGCCTCCATGCCCTGTATAGTTTGGGTGGATGGGAAACGGATTCAACGATGAACGATCGTGTCGCTGCTGGTGCGAGGGTGGGCATTCTGTCGCGGAAGGGTTCCTGAGCCCTTCCTTGCAAAACATGGCCAACATGCGGAGTCACTGAACGTGACAGCCTGCACCAATGAGTCAGAAGAAGGGAAACATAAATGATCTGCTGCAAAGAGGTTTTACGTCCTCCAGCTGACCTACCTTTGATGTATAAGGACCGCGCGATAGCTTCGACTTCGACTGCTGGATCTACGATAAGGCTCTGAATAAGCCAACCGCGCAGCAGCGCCAGAACAAAACAATTCGCCAAGTTGCAAGACGCTGAGCAAAATCTAAATACGAATCATCGAGATATTATATATATATTATTTCATCGGCCTTCATTCCACC